TCTTGAGACTCTCTTCTCAGCCTCTTCTCAAGCCCGAGTAATGCATACATTATTTCATCTCTCCACCCTGAAGAAGGGGTCCGATTCTATTGCGGTGTATTATCGCCGTGCCAAGTTATTAGTGGATACATTGGGAATGGTTGGGAAAGTTATTTCTCCGTCCGAGTTTATTGTCTACCTACTCGCCGGTCTTGGCATCGACTACGACTCCATCGTCACCTCGATTACAACTCGTGCAGACACTCCTTCTCTAGCTCAAGTGTATTCTCACTTACTCACCCATGAATCTCGTCTCAGCCATCAGCTCACTAATCTCACTTCTACAGCAGAGATCTCGGCCAATTCCTCTGTCCGCCAGTCCCCTAATTCCTTTTCAAGGGGACGTGGTTTTCACAGAGGTCGTTCTGGTCACCGTGGTCGAGGTGGTCGATCTAATTTCGGTGGTCGTTCCCCTTCTCAACACACTGCTCCATTCACCTCCGATAGGCCTTGTTGTCAAGTCTGCCACAAATTTGGCCTTACCGCCGCCATTTGCCATCATCGTTTCGACTACAACTATCAATCACCATCTCCGCCACAGTTATTGGCACACTATACTTCTCGTTCAAATTATTCCACCGTCTCTGATCCCTCTTGGTTTCCGGATACCGCCGCTACTCACCACTTCACCAATGATTTCTCGAATCTCTCTCTTTACCCCACCGAATACAAAGGTACTGATCAAGTCCACATCGGCGATGGCTCTGGGCTTCCAATACATCATGTTGGCAGCTCCAACCTCCCCTCACCCAATGGCAATTTTCTACTCTCCAAACTTTATTATGTTCCTTCAATTTCCAAAAATTTGATTTCTGTTCGCAAATTTTGTGAAGATAATAGTGTTTATTTTGAGTTTCATGCCTCTTCTTTCTTCGTGAAGGATACTCGAACGCGGAAACTCCTCCTTCAAGGTCGCACTAAAGATGGGCTGTACGTTTTCCCATCTCCTCCTCCTCAAGTTAATGCTAGTGTCTGTGTCACTCCTTCTCTTTGGCATTCAAGACCCGGTCATCCTTCTTTACAGTTGGTGCACAAAATAATATCTCGCTATTCTCTACCCTCCAAAAGTTCCAGTAATCTTCCTCAACAATGTTCAGCTTGTTGCCAAGCCAAACTTCATCAATTGCCATATACTCCTTCTCAGCACCGTTCTACCACTCCTCTCCAGTTAGTTTTTGCCGATGTTTGGGGGCCTTCCCCACATGTTTCTCGTGGTGGTTATAAATATTATGTTTCCTTTGTTGACGATTTTAGTCGTTTCAGTTGGATATTTCCCTTAAAATGCAAGTCCGAGGTTGTTAACACTTTTGTTTTATTCAAAAAGAATGTTGAAAATCTTTTGGGATATCGACTTCGCTCGTTACAAACTGATTGGGGCGGTGAATTTCGTTCTTTAAATACATTATTGCGTTCCATTGGTGTCACTCATCAAGTATCATGTCCTTATGCTCACCCACAAAATGGCACGATTGAACGTAAACATCGGCACATTGTTGAAACGGGTCTTGCTCTTCTCTCTCATGCCTCTCTCCCTCCTCTTTTTTGGTCCGATGCTTTCGTTACCGCTATTTATCTCATCAATCGGTTACCATCCCCTGTTTTAAAATTTGTCTCCCCATATGAGATTCTTTTTAAACAAAAGCCCGATTATCATTTTCTCAAAAGTTTTGGTTGTCAGTGTTGGCCCAATCTCCGACCATACAACAAACACAAAATGGATTTTCGATCTATTCCGTGTCTTTTTCTTGGGTACAGTCCAAACCATCATGGATACTTATGCTTTCATGTTCCAACATCTAGAATGTACATATCTAGGGATGTTCGATTTGATGAGTATAATTTTCCTTACTCTACCCAAAATAAGATATATTCCACTGAACAACCCATTTCTTATATTTCTTTACCTTTCACAATTCCTCCACAGCCCAGCCCACTACCCAATAATTTTACTCCTTCAGAAATTCAAGCCCGTTCATCCATGCCACCGTTATTGCCCACTCCTCCTTCTGGCCCATTAACCCATAGCCCACTTCCTTCCGGTCCTAGCCTTACTAGTCAACTCATACCTGACCCAATACCTCTTTCACCCAATCCACCACCCCCAAATACTTCATCGTCTTCTCCAAATATACCAGCCCCAACTTTCTCTGTTTTGCCATCTCCATCGATTCCGCCTCCTCCACCTCTCAAAATTACAACCCGTTCTCAAATCCAAAGTTCTCGTCCTAAAATTCGAACCGACGGCACAATATCGTGGCCTCCTCGTGCTTTGGTGTCCTCCGTCCCTATTCCGAACGAGCCTACTTGTGTAACTCAGGCCTCTCAATATCCTGAGTGGCGTAAGGCTATGCAAACAGAATTTGATGCCCTTATGCAAACTCGAACATGGACACTAGTTCCTCCTGGCCCGAGCCAAAATTTGGTTGGTAATCGTTGGATTTTTAAAACAAAATTCCATGCTGATGGTTCTATTGAGCGCCGCAAAGCGCGTCTAGTAACAAAAGGCTACAATCAACTCGAAGGCTTAGATTACACTGAAACGTTCAGTCCGGTGGTTAAACCAACATCAATCAGGCTAGTGTTGTCTCTTGCTATTTCTTTGAACTGGCCTATTACCCAGTTGGATATCCAAAATGCGTTTCTACATGGAGACCTTGATGAAACTGTGTATATGGTTCAACCTCCCGGTTTTGTTCATCCTGATTTTCCCAATTACGTTTGTAAATTAAACAAGGCCTTATATGGACTAAAACAGGCACCCCGTGCGTGGTTTGCTCGGCTCAGTTCCAAACTTATTGAATTGGGATTCCTCGCTTCCAAGTCAGACGCCTCTCTATTCATTTATCGGAAAGACTCTCTGGTTATCTATTTTTTGGTTTATGTTGATGATATAGTATTGACAGGTTCTTGTGCTTCCACTCTTGCACAACTTATCACTCTACTGAGTAAAGATTTTCCGGTTAAGAATATGGGTGGTCTACATTACTTCTTAGGATTATAGTGCTCTCGCAACTCTTCCGGTTTATTAATTTCCCAAAGGAAATATATCCTCGATATTCTTCAACGAGTAAATATGTTGAACTGCAAAGGTGTAAATAGTCCGATGGCTCCTTCTACAAAATTATCAGCATTTGACTCTCCTTCATTTGAGGATCCGTCTTTATATCGGAGTATTGTTGGCAGCTTGCAATATCTCTTATTTACTCGCCCGGATCTTGCATTTTCGGTGAACCGAGTTTGCCAGTACATGCATTGTCCTTGCATTTCTCATTGGCAGTCGGTGAAGAGAATTCTAAGATACTTGAAACATACCATTAATCATGGTCTTTTTATACGACCGTCACCAACTCATACATTGACGGCTTATACGGATGCCGATTGGGCAGGTTCATCCGATGATAGAAAATCTACAGGTGGATTTTGTATATTCCTTGGTCGTAATCTTGTATCTTGGAGTTCAAAGAAGCAGTCCACCATCGCTCGCTCTAGCACTGAGGCAGAGTACAAGGCTCTTGCGCTAGGCACATGCGAGTTACTTTGGGTACAATCACTTCTCACAGAATTGGGTATTCACTCATCTAAACCTCCGATATTGTTCTGTGACAATCTTGGTGCAACTTACCTCTCAAAGAATCCAGTGTTTCACTCTCGCACAAAGCATGTCGACATAGATTATCACTTTGTTCGGGACCGAGTTCAAGCTAAAGCACTACATGTATCTTTCCTCTCCAGTAAGGATCAATTGGCGGACATCTTCACTAAACCTTTATCCTCGACTCGATTTGGTGTTCTTCGTACGAGCCTCGCCGTCGTTCCTTCCACGCTTGGCTCGAGGGGGCATGTTAACAGTACATCACACTCACTGGAACATTTCTCATCTAACAGCTCAGCACATATTGTGGATAAGCACAAATCTCCACAAGAATAATGTTTCAGAGTACACGTGTCACTTTGTGGTCACTCTAGTCCAACAAATTGTAACAAACCCTGATTCACTTGTGATTCTATAAGTACACGTGTACAGGGCAATACTCTGTATTCAATGAAAACATGACATTATGAAATTATCATCTTCTTCCTTTTGTTTTTCCTCTGCTACTCTAACATTTCAAAATTCAAAATATAGTATTAGTATTCTTATCTGTTTGCTGCCTTTTTTTTCTTTCCTTTCTTTCTTAGTTGTTGAGCACTAACCACAACACATTGCAGCTTCAAATCTTTAGAAGAATGTCGGCGCCGACCACCACAATCCAGGCTGCACACGCCGCATCGCTCGTCACGGAGGACCTCTACAAAGTGCCCACTGTAACTCATTCAACTCTTTTGCTCGTTAATAAGTCGACAACATTAGGAAAGGGTACAACCTGGAGTAAGAGGTGGAGTATTTTCGTTATCTTTTTGTTGCACTTCTTAGGCAAATTCATTTTGTCAATCAAAAATCAGCAGATGTGATGTTGTCAATACTATGTTTGTTGCGAATCTTGAAGGTGCTATATAGTTTGGGACCTTATTTTAACGTGAATCAGATATTGTACCATTATTTTGCTTCACTGGAGAAAAAATAGGTTCAGAGGTTTCTAACTGGTTCCTACCATTCGTCAATACAGTATTTTGTGGTTTTGCTTTGATCACTTTTTTTTTTTTTAACTCTTGTTTAACTTATTGAGTTGTTCAAAAGTATTAGCATATGCTGGCCATGCTAAAAAAATGACCTATTCACCTGCTGCCTATACGTGCCCTCTCCTCCCATCCATATCTTAAAGAGTTCACATTGACTCCTTTAGATATTAAGGTACAGTGCCCTCTTTTCAATGTTTAACTAGTGTTTTTACTTCGGATATAATCTTTTCTTTGAGGCAGTACCCACATCTCTTGTGTCTACATGTTTCAAATACTTGCTATTGAAAAAGCTACAAACCCTCTTGGTAATACTGAGTTTTATGTATTACTCCCTCTATTCCATAATAACTGTCCCTTTTTAAAAATATTTTGTTCCATATTATGTAATTTTAGATTTCCAATACTGCATTAGATGCATTTTTTTTTTCCTGTTTTAACCGTATTAATTCAACTCTAACTATTAACTCTCTCATCACATCATTAAATGATAATGATCAAGGTTATTTTAGTCTTTCTAATGTGTTTTTTCCTAAAATCAAGACACATTTATTGAGATTCTTATTACTTGTTCAAAGCTAAAAACGACAGTTAATTAGGAACAGAGGGACTATTTCTTTTAGCTTTAGTTTTGTTTAATCTGCCAACTATAAGGAGATGAATCAAGAGATTTATTGGAATTTGGAAATAGTTGAACAACCGTTTATACTGATTTGTTTTTGGTAATTTCTGTTCTACTTTTTGCAGACGAGTCTTCAGAACTTGAGAGATGGAAAGAAAGGCAATCTTAAAGTTTCCACTGAGATCTGTTATTGTGGAAGTGTTTATAAGCTCTTCTTTAGAAAAAAATGTATTTTTGCATGGTAGCTAGGGCATGTTATGTATTTGAATCAGGTCTTTCAGGTTCCCATTTCTATGCAGGACATCATTCTTGTTCCCGCCACCTTTGCTGACGTCGTGCTTGCCTATGCTACCATGCAATTGTCAGATTATTTTCTTTCTTCTTCCAAGTTACGAGGTTTTGCCGCGTGTTGAAATTTTCCCTCTGTTGTTCTGTTTTGTTGGTGTTTCATTTAGTTGTGCGGTGTGTTTTCATTGCATTAGTCAATCGTATCATGTGGAGTCTCATGGAACCCTGGCAAGCACTTATTCGAAACACTCTTAACAGATTTTCTGGCCCTGATCCATCAAAGATGAGAGGGTCAAAAAGAGGGAAATCAAATACTTCATTAACACGATGAGTAAGATCTCTGCAAACGAACTAGGTAAAACTTGAATGCCATCGTTTTTTTTTATTTTATATATATATATATATATATATATATATATATATATATATATATATATATATATATATATATATATATATATATA